TGTAATGGATAAAGCTTTGGAAGAAATCTGTGCGCGATTTAGTGACTATCACATTTTATGTGCTTTGGCGTTACAGAGGCTTCAGGGGCCCTAAGCAAAAAACTGCTACGAGACTTCTATTCACGGACAGCACGAAGATCACATTAAATGGTGTAGAGCATGTCAAACACGATAGAAAAAGATAAAAATGAGGATTATTTTCTCGTTAGCTAGGGAGAACTGAGTTTTAGAGCTTCGGTTGAGGAACTCTCAGAGTTGAAGAACTTTAAAGTACCTTGGACCCCTTTTAGTCGAGGGCCCTTGGATGTTTCCAACGATAGTTTGGATAGTTTGCCTTGAGGTAGTGCCGTGGAAAATTATCTAATTTTAATTAATTGGTCTATAAAATTGAAAAAAAATTATAACTATCCGCAAATAATATGCCGTTGATAGAAAAAGCTGAAAAATGCCGAATCAAGGTGCTCTAAACTGTGTTACGCCACAGGCCCGTGATTAGGGAATGCAAGCGTGAATGCTAATCCTTAAACAGAAATCATCTGGCTTGCTCCTTCTACAAGTTGATTATGAGTTTCTGACCTCCTAGAAATGGAACACAAACTGTTCAATTATCACAAGAATAGGCAGGTGAGCAAAAAATGCGTGAATTGCTGAGAATTATGCAAATCATATTCACAAAAAATATCGATAAAATGATCTATATATTTCGTCGCTGTCGTGGAAGAAATTCGCTTTTTTGATGAAAATGTGTAAAGTTTCAATAATACTTATTAGTTAACATAATTTTAATGACGTTGAATTTTAATCATTTTTTGACTAATATTAGAAGCTCACATGTGTTAAAGTATACTCCGTATTTGGGTGTTATTATATTTCGGGCAAAAAATTCAGCCCCCCCCCCCCTATCTGAACTCACCCCGTACGCCTATTAATGCTTGCAGCAGTCAGTTACCCATAAATTCTTCACTAAGTTATAGTTCTTCACTAAATTCTTCAAATTTGCTGGTACCATAGAAGAAAAGAAAAATTTGAACAGCAAAATTTCATAACATTAATAGCAAAAGGGATTGTTCTTTTTCTGATATGTGCACTTACTTCATGAAGCTTCAAATAACTCTTGATGTTCTCAGCTGTAAAATGAGCCACAGTAAGGGCTTAACAGAGTGAAATTCAACACAGCGAGCAAATATGATGTGATATTGCCCACCCATTGAAACTCTGAGGGCCCGGAGAAGCTCAACGCTAGTCATCCCACTCTCTAAGTGAAGTTGTTTATTGGACAACAATATGTGAGCTTCAGGCATGAGAGAATAAGGCAACACCGTATGTCTTTTCCTGTTCTTCGGTTTCTGTGGTGCTCAGAACTTGCAATAAGATTTCATGATATATTGCATGAAACATAATATATTCATGACATGATATATTGCAAAAAATAAAGATAAATTTTTTTCATATGTTTCTGGGGTTTGTTGGGGATTGGCGACACTAAAAGTGATCGGGGCGGGGTTTGGTAAGCCAAGAATACTATTCCTAAAAGGCAAAGAAATAAAGTTGGTCTGAAAAGTTTCTTTCTGATTTGGATTTGGAAAGGTATGTTTGCATTACAAAGAAACTAGTAGTCATGTTGTTGAATGTGTTAAAACGATGGAAGTGTGGACAGATGGTTGTAAAATTACTCACGATTGCTGTTAGTTAATATCAGAATAAATGCACTGAAAGCAACATTGCACTTCTCTGTAGCTACGCGATAGAGATTAGAGAGTAACGAAGCAGAAAACAGCGCAAAGTAGAGCGATATCAACAGTTATACAGGGCTTTGCTCCGAAAAAATAAAACATAATCTTTATTAATCGAGAAGCACTCGTTAAATGTAGAAAGATTAGTGATAAAGTTACCAAGGTTAAATCCACGACTAAATTGAAATTAATCGAGTGCTGTGAAAAATTTGTCATATTTGATCAACATTCTTTCCAGAATGTAGACGAAATTAATAAATTAGGAACTAGTTAATTATTGACGAAGCAAAACTGACCCAGTTCGCAATTTTGGGCTTTTGATACGAATGAACAACTTCAAAATGAATGCAAAGCGGGGTGAATAAGCTGATTTACAAAAACTATCAACAAAGGTAACGAGAAAAACATTTTACATTCGAGAGGTTAGCTAAGAAAAAAATGTCGTGTTTTTTGTATGAAAGCATCTGGCAAGAAGAAGGAACACAATTGCTCAATACACAAAAATCATTGCTGATAAGAATATTACTGGATGAAAGGATGGAATTTCCCATAAATTCTTTTCATAAAGTACTGAAAATGATAAATAATAATAAATCGCATTCTATACAGGATAATCTATCAGTACAAAAATGTACTGTTGTCACTAGATTCTTGTCCTAAAGTTTAATGAAAAGCAAATTCTTTAAAACAGTAAAATCGTTAAAATCATCAAAGATATAGACTATTTAGGCCCATAGTTTACACATTATGTTTTGAGAATTTATGTGTAGCAAGTAGATGCCGAAAACGTCTCAAATACTAGCAGAGAAGAGTGAATGTTGTATTCTCATATGGTCCAGTTAGAGTTTGTCATTACAATGGGTTTACAGTTCTAAAAATATTCTCCGTTAAGCTGTTGAGAGGTTTATTCATGACCTAAGTTTCGTTTTATTAATTTTTTATTTTCCGTTGCTCTCCATTGTAGAAGTGCGCTTCAAGATTCGCCTAATTGACTTTGGAGGAAATTCGAGTTAGGTTTTTAACCTTTATGCAGAATGATTTGGTTAACATCTTAAGTAAAAAGAAATAGGATTTATTATCGTGTTTTGGTGAAAAAAAGATAATAGCGAGTTCTGGAAACGCTCTAAAGCAAACTTAGTATGATTCTGGATATTTATATTTTTATTAAATCAAGTATTTTGCATTAAAAAATGTTTTCTTATTAACAGTAACCGAAGAAGGTCAAGTTAATAAAAAATTGATCCACTAGTGTAAAAAGTTGGGCATCAATTATAAGATAAAGTAGGATTGATTTATAATGCATAAGGCAATAAAGATAATTGTAGAAATTCATGATCTCACTTTATCCCTGCAATTCTTCAAAATATTTCATCAGTGTTTTAATATTTATGAACTTGATTACTTTGTTTTGTTTGTTCAACTTGCAAAAGAGAAAGATCTGATGAAGGCATCGTATTATTATTTACTATTATGTATGATTATCAATTGACTGTAAGATCCTTATTGTTCCTATGAACAATAAACGAAGAGAAAGTGAATGAAAAATCAAACATTTTTAGATATTTTTGTTGTAATTCTTTTATTTTTTTATGTGCGATTCTGTAACGAAATAAACTCTACAAATTATTGGTATCTTTTCTGCATGTAAAAATTGAGCCAAAAAAGGTTTGGAAAATTGACTTAAAATCATTCGAGAAACAAGATCTTAATGGAGAACCTAGGATTATAAGCATAACCATAACCATACTGATCGTTAGAAACAACTGAGATAATAGTATGCCCATTTTTAATAATTTTCTTTGAGTATCATTTCAAAGGAATTGCTTGTCGAAAGACATTTATTTTATACATTTATGACATTACACACGTATTCAATGTACACAATCAGTATTTGCAAATTTTCAAAACATTTGCTGGGCATTTTCTGTCTGTAAAACGTGCCAAAAACTCGCAATATGTTTCGACATGTAACAGTTAATTAAGCACTTTCCATTCATTTTTGCTAATGCAGCTCGCATTCCCTGAAAGGAGAAAACGTCGTCTCGTTTATTGAAAAATTTTCTCTTTATCAGACACTTGGTATTACGATGAGCTTTACTATACATCAAAAGTAAGAATATCATAAGACATTTACACCCAGAACACACATCGGTCATATGGCAGGGGCAGACAGTCACAAACACAGATAAATGTTTGTACAGATTTGTACAGAAAAAATACAGATAAATGATTAAAATAAAATATCACACAATACGTAATATTATCATTATTATGTGAAAACTAAGGGTCATTCATTCCCCTATCAATGATTCTGGATTAAAATGGCAGTTAAATATTTGAGCAGACATAGGGCTCCCAGGCGTCAAGCGCTTACCCTTTGATTAAATCCACACTATTTCTGTCACTTCGAATTCTATGTCCCAGCAGTGGCGTACCCAAGGGGGGAATAGGGAGGTCCGGACCCCCCCCCACTTTTCTAAAATATGATCCTCGAGATTTGTCCAAAAACGATGTAAAACTCATTGGGGGGGGGGGTGTAGTATACTGTATGTTTGTGTCAATAACAATTGTAAAATACTTTGCTATTTACTGTAGTTAACATAAAGCAAATAATGGCGGAAAATTTTGCAAAAAGAGCATTTCCTCGCATTTGCGAGTGTTTGAAGGGCGTGGTCCAAAAAATTCCGGGGACTACGCCCCAGATCCTCCCACTACTCCGGCCCTGGGTACGCCACTGTGTCCCAGTACTCTGTTATACATTCCATTCAGATTCAAGAGACGTTGAAATGACAACAAACAGAGCAGCGAAGAGAAGCCGTTACGCTAGAACAGAGAAAGTTTTTCACCTGGCTGCCATAATTTTGTTCTTAAGTGCACAAAATGACAGGAGGTGCGCCTTAGCAGTAAACCTCTTACTGGAAGAGGCTTTTCCTCAGGAGCCTATCCGTCGTAATTTGCGATAATGATATTTCAGAATCGTTATGGATTATTTTTGATCTGCATGTGTCTTGCTCAACGTTTAAAGTAACGTGTTGCGAGCAGGTGAAGATCGACCATTTGTAAGTTTCGACTCCCATTTACTGTCGTTAAAGTCAGTCGTAAATGTGACGACAGGGTTTTATTGCTCTTAACAGGGTGAACTACAGTTGGCAAGGATCCCGCTCACAAGGAGACATCAGAGGGAAAGGTAAGGATTCAACAAATAATTCCATATATACGTAAGGAGATCGTGGTTTATAGCTTCCATATGTCAGATTTGTGTTGTATTTGCATTGAAATGAGCAATAAACATGCAACCCGTGAAAGCTTGCAACCGAAACATCAAGCAACATACTTGCTGCGCTTGGCATTGCAAACAAGATGTCTTGGTAGGCTGTTTACGTTTTTACACTATTGATTGATCGTGAACAACATAGGCGTAGAAAGATTGGATTAGGTGGCATCAGCCCCCCTAGTTGGACACAAGCCCCCCTAATTGGACACAACTTCGCTACCGAAATGATGTCTCTTTGTTTTGACACCCGGACAACATAATGCTGCCCACAACTTTGTACGAAGCATTTTCTATCATTAATGAAAAGGAAAAGTTAGCAGTGTACCACATCTTAGACTACAATATACCAATGGATGAGCTTATAGATTTAGAGATATAGTAAATGTTGCTAATTGTGATAAAAAAGAAACAAAGCAGGGGAAAGAAAAAAGCCAAAATTTAAAGGGGATTATAGATTTTTCTTTGAAAAATGCAGCTGGTCATTAAAACAAAATTAGGTTAGCTGTCAACACGAGTTTTGAAAGTGTGCTTCTTTCAATAATGTCATTTTGTCCGTCAGAAAAAATTGGGGAATTGCGGTGTTGTCAAATCAGTCTTCACTCTGGCAACCACTTCACTTATTCGACAGAAAATCTTGAGTTTGTCTTTTTTCTAATTTGTGGTTTTAATGCATTAAAACTCGGTAGTGCTCTCAGTCATATATTTAGAAAGCTACGCTATGTGGTGTATGAAATAGGTATCCGGAAAACAGTAATTTTCATTATTTAGAGAACTAGGAAAAGGTCTCATGGATGGCAGCCATTTTCAAAATATTCAAATCCATATTCTCTTGGAGAAACAAAAGGATTTCCATTATGCAAAAACCATTATGCCATCACCTGCTTAATACACAAAGAATAAAATGAAAATTCAGCAACAATATCGATTACAGAAACGTCTGTGATCAGCACATGATATTAAATGCCAATCCTTTGCTATAAATTCCATTGCATGCCCCAATGAAGCCTCCAAAAACGAGTCAGGGGCAAAATTTAAAGCTGTGATATAATTTTATCTGTTGTCGAAATAATGTTTTCTTGTATGAAATAATCTTAAAATAACATGAGGCTCTTTAAAATTTTGTCAGACACAGTGGTAACAAAAAAGAATATAAGCAAACATAAAAGTAAAATGTATGGCCAGTTTATGCAAATTTCTTTTATCAACGTTAATAATTGAAGCTAAAACCAATCCAAGTTCATCTTGAAGTAAAGCAAGGTCATTTTTCAAGCAAGTCGCGCCAAAGATAGATGTGCTTCAATTGGAAAACAAGACACACTTAGTCTGTAACTCCATGAGAAAGTAACCATCTTGCGTTGAAACAAAACATATATCAGGCTGCATTTCAAAGATGAAGTTATTTAAATAATGCAAACATCATACAAGGGTTGGGTCAAAACTACACATCGTTGGATAACAGAGCTTGATTCGTTAATCTAAAGACGTTGCGGCTTCTGTTTCAGTGCGCAATTGGATTTACACTTAGAAAAAGCGTCAAATTTAAAAAGTCTATAACAGGTGGCAGTATGGAAGAATTTTACGAATAATCTCATTTATAACTCAAATAATATTGCGACCGATATTTCCATGGACAATCTATTTGCCTTTCTCTGTGGTATGGGTGTCGTCTTTGAGTCTTGAATCGCGAGTATCTTGAGCAACGAGATCATCAATGGTCGCTTGATATAATTTCAAAGTAAGTATTTACTGTTTGTAAGCATTCCTTTTTGTATTGCACTCTTTTCGTGAAAACGGAAAGCTAGGAACAGTTGGAATAATTTTGAAAGATGTGTCTTGGTCGCAATCATTAAATATCTTTATATCATATAAAAGCCTTCTTTTTTGAAAAAATGTGCTTTGGAACGTCCCCCTAAAAAGGTGCTTAGAAATGTTAGTTCGCTACTCAAAGAAAAACAAAGGAAATTAAAGCATTTTGAATTTGGATCAAATCATCCCTGCTTCATTATTTGTATCACTTTCTTGTAATTAAAAAGGAACAGATTTTGCGTTGATGCACATACCAAATATTCTTCAATTTTACAACAAAACAATCGTCATGGCCTGGCCACCGCTGGGTTTAGAAAGGGTTTTCTAGCCACTGAATCTTTTATCGATATCATAAATCTAAAGTCACAAACCATTCGGAATGTAGTTCTTTGTAGGATTCATTAAAAGAGTTAGTATTTTCAGAGAAGTGTTAAAGAGCTTCATACAAAAGACACGCTTGATTTAGCTTTCGATTCAATCTCGATGAATTTATCACTTTCCAACAAGAGAAGCAGGCTTCGGCTGGAAGTATGTGGTGTGGACAGGCAAATAGGGAGGATTTGCCAAGAAAATTTTAGATTCCACGCCCCCTTAAGTGCTGGAAACGCCCTTTTTTAAAAACATTGCAATGAAAGCGGTGATGTTTTCTCCTCGGCTTTATTGCTAACATATCATATAATGATGACATGTTCGACACTCTTCTGAGTTTAAAACGTCATAGTTTTTTATCTATGTTCTAACGTTTTAAACTCTGAAGAGTGTCAGACCACGAAAAGCTTTAGTTTACTCAAATGTTTCCTTTTTTCAAAGCCATTTTCAAGTTTTGTACCATCAAAAGATTGGTGACATGTTCCTTTCATTCCTTTTATGGTTAAAAGTGGGAGTTTTCAACAACATGCAACTTGTAACGCCTTACATTACTGAATGCTTAGCCTTCATTTTCAACACTTTGATTTCCACTAGTCCCTTTTCACAGGCTTGAAAAACAGATAGGGTTTCACCTATTTTCATGAACGAGGATTTTCATTATAGATCTAATTATAGCCTATCTCGATAATGCCAGCAAATAGACAACAGTTTACTATGGTAAAGGTGTACCCTGAGGTTAAAACAATCGGCATAGGCGTACCGCAAACCTCTTTCCTTGGCCCTTTCCTCTTTCTGGTTTGCATAAATGATGACCACATGCTGTATCAAACAGTTCTGTTACAATGTATGTTAATTATAAAAGCCCCTCCATGTATACTAAAGCTTGGCTGTGAATAAGGATCTTCAAAACATCGATACGTGCTTGGTTGGGATAAACTCTGCAAGGGTCCTAAAGGCCGACTTACTAACTATCAAAACACAATTCTCTGCCCAGCTATTTAGATCTGGTTTGGCGGGCAATAGAAATGCCAAAGCAAATAAAGAAGACTTTTCCTTTAAAAAGAATTTAAAAGCAAATATACCAGCATCACAGAACTGAACCCTCTATACTAGCTTCTGTGGCAACAATGAAATCAATAGATCGCAAAGGCTTCAAAACAAAGCAGTAAGAATAACACCAGGGCCTAGCCACGATGCTCCTAGTGATCCTTTATTAAAAAGTCTATCACTAAAAACTATCAAGGAAATTTTAGTTACAGGCACAGAACCTTTGGTCTACAAATCGCTAAACAGCCAGGTCCCCGAATATTTGCAAAACATTTTCACTAGAAGCCAAAGTTCGTAAAGGATCCTAAGAAACTCACAAGAGAAACTGAATTTACCCTTTTGAAACAGAGAATCTAAATTTCTTGGAAGAGACTATCAAGAAATGTCAAGCAGTTATATATTATACTAGGCTTTTGATTTCATAACTATTTGATTTTATACATATTTTCTGTTAATTGTTACTAGTAATTTACTTTTGTATTCTGGTAATTTGAGTTGTAGCCTATGGCGGCTCTGTGAAAAACAGCTCTGCTGAAGTTAAAGAATTATTAAAGAATTGAAAGACATACAGAAAGACAGACAAATGAATAGTTTAGACTTTGACCCAATCGGACTGAATTTCAATTCCCTTTGGATTTCTATACCTTATTTAACTTAAATGTCTCTAAATAGTCAGAAAACTGATGCAAAACCAGCTCTTTCTAGCCTGTGTTTCAGCCCTTTAACTTGATTTGTTTTTAGGGCCTAGGTTTTAGGGTTTAGGGCCTAGCCCTTTCTATCACCAAGGCAAGGACAGATAGTATTGGAAAGAGATTGGGGAGATACCTTTCTGCTTTAAATTAAAAAGGCATTTGAGGACAAATTACAACTGACATACATTTGAAAAAAGGAAATAAATTTTAAATCAATTTTGTGTTTTCAAAAATCAATAGAAATCAATTCCTCTTCTGGAATGATTTTCACGTAGACCTAATTTTCTAGCCTTAAGTTGTGTTACATCTCTCAAGCTTGGAACCGAAACAAATTTCTTCGAAAAGCAGTTACGATCGTTTTATACAGGGGCAAATTTCTATCTTTGCAAGCATTTTCTTTCTAGCTTATGACAATTTCTTCTGACAACTTAAGCCCAGTAAAAATCATTTCATTTATGTAGACAGTAAATATATACACCCAGCATTCCTATTTCTCATTGAATTGAATTCCAGTTGCTTCTGCATCATACTGATTGTTGCATTCATACTGATACAGCAATATTTTGATAATACATTTCATCAATATTTAAATATGGGCTATCAAAACGATACGTTGGTGTCAATTGCATCTATATCAAAGCCACATTAATAATTTCTTCAATGGGTTCCCTCTTCCCTGTTGTGAAGAAACATTGTCACCTGAGAACATTCAAACAAATCATCTCGAGAACCACAGCTTCATTTGTGGTTTTGTTGCCTAATTTTATTTACAAGAAAAAGCAAAAGCATCGACATGCAAGAGATGCCAATTGGATCTCTTAAGCTTGAGTGGTTTGCTCAGATAATGAAGTAATTTGATACAACCTGCTCTTTATTGCAAGATGAAAGGGAAACAAATTATCGCGAATGACAGATAAGATATTGCAATAATAAGGCCTGGCTGGTACCTGTTCTTGATCACCAATAAACGTGTTGCTGACGACTATTAACGCTTGAAATCATCTTTATGAATTGCCTCTTCTGGAATTTGATCAAAAATTTGAATCAACGAAAAGTTTGTCAAGACCGTATACACTGTCTGAGTCATGTTTGGTAGAGATTTATAAATAAATCAAGCCTAAAACAGAGTAATTCTGTATTTGATTTGAAAACAAAAATGAATTTAAAGACGAAAAGTAATGTCCTTGAAAAGCATTGCTTCCTGCGCTCTTTTTAAGAACAATTTTATAACAACAAAAGCCTCGAAATTCGAAATCGAACTGAGGCTTAACTACTGTGAAATGCAACTTTGAGCAATGTTGTGAAACACCCTACAAGTTTCAATTAAAAAAGAGTAAGTTTTGCCATCTAGTGGTGCTTCGTCGGTGAATTATTAAACTTGTCGACAAATAAAGAATAAATCAATCCCTATGTTGGCAAATAAGGCCTGAACACTCACTCCCCTTGAGGACACTATCTAATTATTCCATTGCTTACAGCATAATAATTTAACAACAAACTAAGAGAATTCATCCCCAATTTTCGAAAAGATTAAGTACAGCCAGTCTGAACTTCAAATTACTTATTTTTATGAAAAAGAGTGTAGCTTAACTAGCTTAAGTGTTATAAAACAGACAAAAATAGAAACGATTATGAAATTTCCGCTTTGATTGATTTGGATGGCGTCTCATAAGTAGATTTAATTTTGGTTTTACTTCTCTGGTTATGAGAAAACTCAGTGGAGAGCAATATAATGACCAAGCTGAGGTCATACATATTCTGATGGATTGATGTAAAGGAATATTGAATTGCAAGTTTATTCATTTGCGCGGGTAGATGCCAGCTGTCGTCAGAATCTAAATAAATAACATGTTTACAGAGCAATGCTTAAGATATTTTATTCAGAGAGATCTTGGCGTCTTTGTTTTTTCAGATGTAAGAGCTTATGGATAGAATGAGTTTTAAGAGTGATAATAGGGCTCCTCCTTCAGTTATCTGATTCTTTCTTACGATCGTTTTGTAATCATCAATCAGTAAGTAGAAAATAACAGATAAATGGCTGAATTAAGAATTGCTTCAGCTGTTATATCGACCACAGCTTGGTGAGCAGGGAAAATTACCATCTTTAACGGTCATTTTGCTTCACGTTTCTCATAGAAACTGTTCAGACTATCATTTATTACTTCTATCAGCTTGTCAGCACCCGTAAATTAGCTGCGAACAGATGACTAATTCACGTATGAAAACAGATCTTGCAGAAGCACCTTCTGAAGGGAATTAACGCGTTTTGATTGTTATGTCGTGGACAAAAATCTATTTCATTACAACAGATCAACATAATTCAAGGTTTATTTTAGGATTCATGCAAGGCAATGCTAAGCGATTTTAACGATTATTCGTAATTTTGATTAGGAAAATCCACGTATGTCAGCTTACAAGTATAAACAGCTGTTTAAAACCTTTAATGACTTGTTTATCATAGAATGTGATCTGCCAGTGAGCTCTTACCAACAAGTCTACTAATTATAAATAAAACCTAACGTCCTTGAAATCGATTGACAACTATTGTATCCCCTCTATCATATATAAGCAAAACCAAACACAGCCTTGGCTCAAAATAAATTTCGGAATTAATATCGTGTAAATATTTGCGAAGAGTCAACACAATGAAATTTTCTCCTGATGCAGCTTTCCTGGCAATTGTTTTCAAATAGCACATGACATGCCTTGTTGTAGCAAAAGCCATTCTTCTAAAGTACACTTGGAATTGAATAAATCTATCCAATAGTAATCTTTTTTATCACCTTTACTACATTTCTGTAAGCAAAAAGAAACCTTACCCAAAGTGTTCTTGATTTATCAGTTGTAAATCAATTTAGGAGCCACATTTAAAAATCCAGTTCCTTTTCAATTTTATGGTTGTTTTCTTCGCGTTCTTGTAACCTTTAAGGCTGTGTCACCCTTTCAGGCTCCTAAATCAGTTATATATGAGATACCAACATCGCCATAAGGAGAAGGAGACGTTCTTCGTGATTATTGCAATTCGTGCCCCAACTAGGTGAATGAAAAGAATGTTGCACACTATAATACAGTATTCAGTGATAACAATATCTGATAAATATCTGATGAAAAATTTGACCATGGTGAAGGCTTTTGAGTTTATTATTGCATTGCAAGACTTTTTTAATGGCTGAAAAATATCAAGTGTTGGGAAGTAGAGAAAAAGCTTTATTTTAAATTCAAAGCTGGAGTTGATAATCACTTTAGAGTTTGTTTTGGATTATGATGCAAAGGAAAAGCCAGCCTATTGTGTGTGAAATTTCTTTTTGAAAACGCACGGAAAGTCAAAAGAAATTGATTATGACAAGAAAAGAAATCACAAATGTTTTTTATTTTCAATAAAAGCAGATTCGTTTTAACGATTTGCAATCAATAATTTCAAAGAATTTTTTGAAAAATTTGAGGAAAGAATGTATAGTAATTCCCCGTTAGCTGAAGCTATCCCGTCGAGTGGATGAAAACCGAAGATTTTTGCTATAAACGACAATTAAACGAAGAGCTAATGAGAACGTCTTTTTGTAGGCATGTAATGATAGAAAGCAAACAAAGCCCTCCGTTGCACCTTAAATAAAAATTGAATTTGCACACAGTAGAATCTTTGAATTCTTCATGTATAAAGCAGCTGGCAAACGTTAAAGCAAGACTGCTGTACTGACATTGCATTATTTTGTATGTATACAAAAAACAGTCATTACTATATTGATGAGCGGCTCAATATTTGTGCTCTTTAGAAAGAAGTCTTAAAAATGCTAAGATGCCTTGATATATCATCAGCTTCACCAAGTTTGATCGCATTGTAAGCAACGAGATCGACGGAAAATATCACAACCAAACATTGATGAAAAATTGAGAGAAGAACTAAGATAAATGCTTCACATTTTTTGATGGCGGATCGTTTTACTGCTTGGCACATACTTTACGCTATGCTATTCTTCGTTATATCATTTAAACTTATCAGGCGACAAGAAGCCAGTCAATTAACACACGTTTAAGAGAATCTCAACACTGTTAATAGATGACCCGCGCTCTTAAACGTTAGTTTATGTAAAATTAATGAAGAACTGCCACTGTTGATGGTATTAGAAGCGTTTCTGCTATGTTTGATGAGTGAAAAACGTCACGTGCATGAAAGGAAAGTTACTCCGATATTTTGAATTACTTTTGCTTACTTATGCGTTATTAATGAGATCGAATGCATTTGAATCGCAAGAACCTACAGCCTGCGGTCGCCTTTAAACCAGCTTTAGCTTCTCAAGATCAATTTGTTTTTACGTAGATGATTTGTTAGTGGAATGAGCTAAGTCGGTACGTCAAGTGTAGCAGTAAGCGGCAAAGCAACAAAACAATTACGAAGTGCTTGATGCCATTTTAGATTTGAAGTTTTCGTTAAGTCTATTTGCTGAGCCAACGGAATTTCATCAACACATCGACGCCAATTTGTTTGCACAGGCAAATTTATAAATAAACGGAGCTTCCAATCAGTTGCCTGTGATTGTTGTTGACGCTAGTGAACGACTTTGTGCAAGCTACATGTAAAATGAACGTGTTTAAACTTCCTACGTTTTACCATGAGCTTTTAACTGACTTTGTTTTTACCGTTCTGCAGGAAAACCCAGAAGACCTTGTAAGTCATGCAGCAAGGTATTTTGAGCTTCTGAGAGATAGCGAAGCCGGCGACAAGTACAGAACAAAACCAATAGACCAAGTCGAAGACATGGATAGTGACAACGAAGAGCCGTTCGTGCCACCAACACGACCAAGAGGAAGGCGCCAAGCCGTTGCCGCCGAATCTTATGATCCAACCAAGCAAAATAATGTCGAAATTGTATCTTACCCGAAAACTGAAAAGCAGTTGAAATTTCTAGAAAAAGCAGTCAAGGATATATTGATTTTTAAAACAGTTGACTCAAAACAATTGAAAGTTGTGCTAAGCTCGTTTTTCCATAGAAAGGTTGAAGAATCGGAGGTGATAATTCAGCAAGGAGACGATGGGGATAATTTTTATGTCGTTGAAACAGGAATATATGACATATTCATTGAAGGCGATACTGGTAGGAAGAAGATCGCTACAATAGATGGAAAAGGCAGCTTTGGAGAGTTAGCTTTAATGTATAATTGCCCAAGAGCGGCAACGATCGTTGCTGTGACAAATGGTGCACTTTGGTGTCTCGATCAGAAGGTGTTTCGAGCCATTGTCGTGACCGCGGCAGCAAGACAGCGACAGCGCTTTGAAGAAATCCTCGAAAACGTGCCGATGCTAGCTGAATTAACAGCATACGAGAGGATGAACCTTGCTGATGCATTGGATGTAAAACTTTTCACCGATGGAAAGTGCATTATTCGTGAAGGGGATGAGGCACAAAATATGTATTTCATTATGGAAGGTAAGGCTAAAATATCAGTTAGACCAGACAAATCAAAGCTGGAGGAAAGAACAATTGCGTACGCTAGGGACGGAGAATACTTTGGTGAACTAGCTTTAGTTTTAAACAAGCCACGGGTAGCCTCTGTTTACGCCGAGGGCGATGTTACGCTTGCAGTGCTGGACATCGCAGCATTCGAAAGACTGCTTGGGCCATGCGTCGAAATCATGAAACGAAACATCGACGTGTATGAGAAGGAGCGTAAACGGCTTGGGCTTCACGGCATCAAATGAGGCGCCAGATTGAAATTCTTATTTGTGTGTTTAGCTTTTGATTTGAAGAAGAATATTCTGTGGCATCAAACAAATAGGAACAAGATATTCGTTATTGTTAAAAATTTAGCTGGTTCAAAGGAACCAAGTTACGTGAAAGCTGCCTTTAAATGACTTAGAGGTAGTATTCTTATTGTAACACTCTGCATATACTTGAGTTTGACTTAAAAAGACGATGATAAAAAGCATGAACTGTTATGATTAATAGATATTTTGCACTGAATTAAGGATTTTTGAGTCAACAATCTCTTCTACCGATCAAGCACTATTCAGTTGCATACAGTGCTTCGGGGTTCTATTTTGGAAAGAAATCGTTCAAACCTAAACTTCATAATGGTATTAGCAGCAAAAGTTCGGTACCTAATCTACAACTTGAAGATACTAAAGATTACTTTCAAGATGACAATTTTAATCTGATGTTCATGTAAAAGACTTAATTTCTTGCCGTACCTAGGATTGGCGGTATCATTTAGATTTCTTGCATCAAAAGGGATCTTCTTGCTTATTAGAATGTGAGCTTTAAGCTGCAATTTGGCTAATGTTCTTACCAGAACTTCAATTTCTGTGTTATACGTTGCTTGAATGTAAACCACATCAAAAGTTTGGTTAATGGGATAAACAGAAGGCATATAACAAATCGCGTTGGTGAAAAGTTGTTCTAAGGATTTCCAAACAGAAGATGCAAATCAGATCGCACAAGCCGCTTAAAAGTCCTTTTTCGACTTACCATATGGTGCAAGATACATATTAAACCGAGAAGTTAATCATCATCTATAACAGGCATAGAAACGGAAAGATCCTTGATATTTTCTTTTTATATTTGTGAGTCTTTGAACAATTATTAACATAACTGAAATGAGGGCTCTGCATTAGATAAAGGCCGCTTGCAAATTTGAAGATTTCTTGCTACAACCTTCAATCTTTAAAGGGACATGACAGTTACTCGATCATTTAAAAATTTCTTCGAATGCCCCAGAGTAAACAGGTTCTATGTTTACTTTTCTAAGTATGAACCGTCTTTTGTTCTTTCTGCAATGCTCTCAGCAATTTTAATATTTAGTCAATTTTCAATTCATATAAAGACCTAATGTATATAAGAACATATATTAGAGCATTCTTAAAGCTCGTTTGAATCTGCATAATGCATTGATTTGACGCTCTTTGCAAGTCTACGCTGTTTTGCTCAAAGATGATTTCAGGTCAAACAGCTCCTTTCAATTGTACAAATGAGACTTCCACTTTTGGGAATGAGCTTACTGTGCAGCTTCAAAAGATTCTATTGGCTGTGAGCATGATGTTTCCATAATAAATGAAAAGGCCATTTCAAAAGCAACTGTCGAAAGCAATGTATGATAGCCGTAGAATGTAACTGCGAGTAGGTCAACGTCCCAGCTGCTTGCTAGCAATAGACTGGAACAAAAAACCCCAAAACCTGCACACATTTCAAAGTTCCTTGAAGATAAGAGGCAGAAAGAAGATTGATAGATAAATCTGCTAGCAGGTAAACCTTCGGCTCTAATATTTGATAACTACAACTTTCTCAATACCATTTGTGCTTTATGTCATGAATTATTGAAGACAATAAAAGCTTATACATAAAATCTACAGGAAGACACAGTTTCACGGTGAATCAGCTTCAATAAGCCTCCACCATAGCACAATGATTTAACCAATGCGAAATTTTCATATGAAGGAATATTGTCATCTTTTATATGCTCAGAAGAAATTTGCATTTTTGAAATATATGTAGAAATATTGTTAATTTTGCTGTTAGTTTGCTCATCTATATAAAGATAGGCTGGTACACAGACAGTTGACTCGGTACCATATCCACGCTGTATCATGCATACTCATTCAGTCATAATTACCTAGACCATGTGCCGACATTTGATAGAAAACGTCTTGTTTCATAATGACTACATTTGAACCACTAGAAAATCCCGAATGAATTTGACTGGAAAGCTTAAGGGCCATATTAAAGAGAATTAGAAAAGCTACTTCTCCCATTTCTTGTCTAAAAATGATTCTTTGAGCAACAAGCAATGTCATTTATCTTGAGTTAACAGTTTAAGGCAAGCCCAGTAAATCGTGATATCCCACTTTATTTTTAAAGTGCAGTATGACTTGCGCTCAAAATATGAGTTCCAAAAATATAGCTACACGACATTTTTCTCTGTTACTTGTATGATATTGGTCTTGGCTAGTCAGGTGGGGAAGGGGTGTGGAAGTAAATGTTTTCGGGGAAAGGAATTGAAAAACACGAGTTGGTTTAATCCAAGTACTTCTGGCAGGCATTGTTCTTATACTTTGGAACGCTTGGACCAAGGTACATCGTCTCAAAGCAAGCTGATTGTAAGAGCCAATGACCTTTAAATTTACAGAAAGAATATAAATATGTTCATGAAAAAGCTTTATTTATCAGAGAAGATCTAGGTATAGTTTCGAGTTTGGTGAAAATTAGGAAACTCCCTCATGAATCACTATTTGGCATACATTAAAATTTGCAATCGTGCAATCTGGAGATCTCTACAGAGTTGTGCTGGGATCTCTTGTGAAATGTATTCCAAAGCTCTGGAGTGAGTCTCTTTATGACCCTATAGGGCATCGGCCATAGCTTAACGCAAAGCTACTGCAAATACTTTAGTGCCTTGGTGTAAGTGAATAAGCGGGTTATGATAAACTACGATTCTGTTAAACAACACAGACATGTAATAAAACAGCTTCCGTATTCTCTCTAATGGGAGCTTCCTCTCTAATGCGCGCCCTATTTTGTGAACGAAAATTTAAATGACCGAAATCTCTCTAATGAGCACCCCCTAATACTATAAAAATAGGTGTTCACTATATTCATGAAGTAAAACATTATTTACAAAACCTAGGCTGTTGAGATTGGAAAATTTTCTTTCTTTAAAACAGGTGTTTTGTTAAGAATTTCTGTTTGGTTATGCACTTCAATCTCAAAAAGGGAATATTGATTTGCTTATGGAATCTTGATTTATGTAAAAGCAATGATTGTTTTCAAACTGTTTCAACGTCAAAGATTTCAAAACTTTGCTTTTTAATTGCGGGTAATGTGCCCCTTTCTAATGATTGTCCCTTTTTGAAGAGCGTCCTTTTCTAATGAGCGCCCTCTCTAAGAAGCCAAAGTTAAATCCCTTAGCGCTGAAAAGAGAAAATATAGTTTATAGTTTAGACAATCCCTTTCGTTCCCTCTTTTAGAAACCGACAAACAAATGGCTTTGGAGTTTCGCAAGTAGACGGCTCAGAGAGGGACTTCGGTCATTTTTAGAATACCAAGGATGCAGCATTTGTTATGATTTAACGTAGTAAAAACCAGACAAAACCCAAAGAATTTGCTCAAAGCACTAAATTCTAGCTAAGATATCTTAGCACAGATATATTTATAGAACCGAAAAGAACTTTTGATAAATCATCTGAATTTCTATAAGTTTGCCGTTTACACTGCTTGACTGAATTTGTGGGATAAAGTTTTTTAGAACTTGCCTTTTGTCTACAGAGTTTCCTTTGATATCTGGGTAACATAACGACATTAGAACTGATTTAAAACAGGAGATAAAATTGTATAATTAATTTTAAGGCAAGTGTCATAAATCAAACTACTTGAAAATTTTTCTGGGCTTCTCCGATAAAAAAATTTTTATAAGTACCAAACCTTGTTGAAAGCGATTGCCAACCTTATTCAGAACAACGGAAGAAATCGCTCTATTTAGCTTTAAAATCTTCCCTCTCGAAATGTATCACTTTGATAAAAAATAGACAACCATGTTTTATTTCCGACAAAATAACTGTTTAGTTTTACGGGGGTGGGGGGGGGGGTGGGGCTCGCCCCCTCTGAAACTTCTCTATCTACACAGCTACCAACTATGTGAGTTGATTTTTTCATTTTTTTGTACCGGTTCCAATAAAATTTAAATTTCATCAAATTTGCACATGCTATGTCATCTACGTTTTAGTCCTATTTTTATCTAAACTCTTTATTGGTTCGACTACACTCTCTCTACATCTTTTTATCTTTTTCTTTTGTACATATGGTGGATTTAAAGCTATATCTTATAATTGTATGTAACAACAAAACGACAAAATACACAATCCAGAGCTCTGACAATACTGTAGAACATTCACAAAATGCCTTGACAAGGTCGATAGCGTGTCGTTAAAGCGATGCCTGCATATTCTTAATTCTTAATCACCATATTTCAGTTATCGAAAATCCTTGTTCAAGATTGAGATTAAATGGTTGCGCAGGTTTTTATGCTAAGAAGCAAGATGATAAGAATAAAAATGATTTTGAACGAGGGTTCTAGTACGATTTCCAAAAATAAACTTAAGAAGTTGTGATCTGATGTGTGGGTTTTTTCGGATCTATTGTTATATTATTTTTGTCTAATGACATAAAAGTTTCTTAATCAAAACAAATTTTTGCGTCTTTAAAAGAAAGTGGTGTGCAAGTTTTCATGATCTAACTGCTTACCACTACACTCGCTTACAGCATCCATTACATAAGGAGTCTGGATTACACCTTTTCTCGAGCAAAGATTAAAAATTTTAAGCTTTGTCACTGTGGAGGAGCTTTAATCACAGTTTACGCTACAATGTCATTTGTACCGGATTTCTATATTTTTGATTAACAAAATTGAATCTTTAACACCAATTATAACATTATTAATATGATTTGCTCCTCTAATTCCTAATCCAATCTCAGTGTCTTAAATCTCGATTCGGTTCACACTCCCGATGCTCTCATATCGAGGGACTACACCATAAACGCCAATAAAAAGACGTTTAAGTCTCTTTCTATCCATGGACAGGATCTCAAAGACGCAGCTGGAAGACCAAAAAAATCACAAACGTTTTGGTAAAGATGATTTTTCAGACTTGGCATTGCCATATATAGCAAAGTGCTTCCTAGTGATATTTAACACCTCTTTCGAAACTAGCAAAGTCCACCCAATCAAATTACAGACCAATTCTGTATTGCCTGTTATTTCGACGTTGTTTGAAAGGTTTGTCTTCAACCAGCTGTACAAATATTTAGACATAAAAGGGCTTTTTTCAAGTGGACAACCAGCCTCTAGATTAAAATTTTCCACCTCAACTCTGATGATGAATGGTACTATAGTATTAACAATGGCTATATGATTGGCTCAGTTCTTGTTGACCTTAAAAAGGCTTTCGTTACAAGCAACCATGAACGTCTATGCC